AAAGATGAGGTATTGTTTTTAGATTTCCTCAGAGTTCATCTTACCCAAAGGCTTTTCCTTATTAAATTCTACCCCTGGAGAATATCTTTGAAACTAGCTTTACTGACTTCTGAGATGTCAGCTAAAAATCACCTCATTTGTTGAAAAAGTGCCACAAAGAAAACTAAGTAACACCGTAAAAAGTGATGGTTGGACGGTGGCTCTTTTAGAATGAATGGTAAGTTAAGTTCTGAGCTGAGATAAGAAGGAGCTGGACCATACAAGATTTGGGAGGCAAGCATTTTAGGCAGATCAGTGGAAGTGGAGGCTTGGAGACTTTCTGCAGAACAGAACGGGTGGGGAATGGGCAGGGGCTCCGTGTGCTCTAGCAAACAAAGCTGGGAGTTGGTGGGAGGAGCCGTCTGAGATGAGGTTTGAGGATCAGGCAGAGCCTGGGTTAGACTGGCCTTAGGAAAGAGTTTCTGTTTATTGTAAGTGGAATGGGAAGCTGTTGGAAATGAACTGATCTCATCTATGTTTTTCAAAGATACATAGGCTGCTGTGTAGAAAATAGATGTTGTGGGGTGACAGTGGGGATAGGAGATGTCAGGAGGCTATTGGGTGAGTACGCGTGAAGACTGATGGTGATTGGACCTGAGTGGTAAGAAGGGGAGAGACTTGAATGGATTCATGATGCATTTTGGAGGAACAGCCAACAAAATATTTTGATGAATTGAACACAGGATAAGAAAGAAAGAGAAGAATCGAGTCTTGAACTGAGTGGACGATGTTGCCATTGAGTGAAATTGGAAGACTGGAGAAGGAGCAGATTATTTTATGGTATTAGCAAAGAGAAATTGTGGACATACTGAGGTTCCTTTTAGATATCCAAAGGGTTGCTTGGAAGGTGAGGCTGATCTTGACAACAGTGTTTTCACTAGAATATTAGGGAGTGGGGAGAGACACTAATGACAACTCTTTTAAAGAAGTTTTAAAGTGAAGAGAAGCAGGGAGATGGTGTGCTAGCCAGATGGATGTGGAGTTAAGGAAGGTTTGGTTGGTTTCAAGATGGAGGATACTCATTTAAGATCGAGGATACTTTAAGATTGAGGAACATATTTGGAAACTGTGGAAAGAAACTGGCAATGCATTCCTATGAAAAGAAGAATGAAGTCCCTTAGAAGATGAGAGGAGAGGAGATCAAGAGCAAAATCAGAGGGTTGATCTTTGATAGGAGCAGGAACTCTTTATCCATAGCCAGTAGAGGGGGGCAGAATGTGGGTACAGATGTGCATGGTTTTGTAGATTTGAAGGTAGGAAGATGAGGAATTCCCTCCAACATCTGTATTTCCCCAATGAATTATGAGGCTATGTCATCAGCCAAGAATGGTGGGGAAGGGAAGGGAATTTAGGAGATTCGGGTTAGAGAATAAAAGGTGTAGTGTGGCATCCTGAAAATCTGAAATCATAGTAGGGTTTTGAGCTGTGCTGTGCGCCCTACTGAGATTTGTTTAAAGTTTTAATTTAAAGTTAAATTTAAAGTTTAAATAAGTTAAAGTTTTAACTTATTTTAAAGTTAAAATAAGCAACGTGGTCGGTTATGTGTTTTTCCCTAGGGATCTCTGGGAGCTTGGGTTCAGGCATGAAGTAGTTGTGGCAGTGAATTTAATGGCATTAGGGGACTTCATGAGGGAGATGAGGGTGAGGAGACGATGAGCATTTGCACATGATTATAATTATGGACTACGGGAACCCGGGTACCAAGACATGAGAAAGTGATGAATGGTGAAAAAGCAATTGGGCCAATGGATCAAAGATCTCTATAAGGTCAAAGGCTTATTGTGGAGAGAGCACTTGAGTAAGTGAGTGGAAATCATCTGGAGAGCTATTAACGCATAATTCATGCCCTACTTCCAAAGATTCTGATTTAGTTAGTTTGGATTGGAACCTTAGCATCAGTGTTTTTAAAAAGCTTTGTAAGTGGTTATAGATGCAACTTTGGTTAAGAACCACCGTGTAACAGGAAGATGGACAATCGGCTCATGCTTGAGGACTAGTGGTTAGCTGGAAGGAGTAGAGCCACTGAACAAATTGTTGTATGGTGGCCACAGAGCGACCTGAGAATGAACAAGAGTTTTCTCCTCCTCTGATCAAACAATGTCCACAAGGGTAAATTTGAACGTAACTATGGTAAATATTAACTGGGACAATAATCCCAGCTGTTAACAGGGGTACATTTCCATTGTTGGAAACATTCTTTATGGGGCTCTCTGAGCTTGCTGTGGTATGGCAGTTTGGGAGAGGAAGGACAATCTCCCCAGCATAGAAGGACCCTGGGAGGGCCCTCTCATAGCATCTGAGTCATGGGTGCTCTGATATCATTCATGGGGCCTCTCCCCTCTCAGCATGGAGGAATAAATATTACCTTGCAGTATATGGTCAAAAGCGATAAAAGAAAACAACCCCAGCAAAGAAACCCAAAATGCAAATTCCCTGTCATTCTCTTCCACTCATTTTATAGATTAAAAAGATGACAAGGTTGGGGCTCCTGGGTGGCTCAGTTGGTTGAGCGTCCAACTCTTGATTTTGGCTCAGATCATGATCTCGAGGTCATGAGATCGAGCCCCACATCTGCGCACAGCACAGAGTCTGCTTGAGAGTCTCTCCCTCTGCCCCTCCCCCACTTTCTCTCTCTAAAATAAATTAATAAAATCTAAAAAAAAAGAACAAAAACAAACCACAACAAGGTGTTACTTACAGCCTAATGAGATAAGAAGAATTTTCTTTATATCAGTCAACAAAAATATCATGACACAACAGTTTCTGAAGAAGTCCTATAGATAACAAAGAATGTTTGCAACACACAACACTAGTTCCTAGTCTTGCTGAATTAGGTACCCAGGAATTTCCAGGGTCACCCCGGGAGCCAGAAGAAGGCTAGCTTCACATGAGGTCAAATGGGTGGACCTTTCTGCACTGGCTCCCGCTAAGCACAGGAACCAGAGAGATAAGCTTCCAGGTTATAAAGTCAACATAGGGCCTCTTACCTGCATGGCCACAAAAATATCCAAGTGGCAGAAGACAGATGTGACATCAAAGAGAAATCAGGGAAGATGCCATGTAGTGTTTAGCCATGGCTGGGTCCGAAAGTTATGAACACCAAGTAAAGTCGAATGTGGCCAAAGAACTTACAGGACTCTCTCAAGCAGGGCTTTCACTGCTTATTCCCATCACTGTGCAGGCAGGGTGAGGAGCAGCTCTTGGGGGGGGGGGGGGGAAGAGGCGAGAGGCATAAACATTTTAAAGGAAAATAAACTGCATGGCTTTAAAAATGTTAAAGGATGATTTCTGTTGGTTTTAATCTAAAATGAAATTTATCAAAAAGAGATGAAAATGATCAAACAGTGTCCAAAAAGGTAAATTAAAGGGTAAATTTGAATGTAACTACAGTAAATATTCACTGGGATGATAATCCTAACTGTTAACATGACTACATTTCCATTGTTACAAACATTTGGTTTAACTTTATCCACCAACTATATTACTGCCAAAAGGAATCTCATTGACAAGAGCTAATGCATTGGTTACTCTTAAAACTATCCATTTTTAACTGTTGACTTACTGGTAGTGTTCGTCATGGAAAAGACCATTTTTATTACCATTGTCATCAATCTCAGTGAAGTTCAGAGGTATTTCCTTGTAGTCACTACAGCTTAGTCCTTTGCTGGTTAGAATCCACACATGTGAACAAGAGCCCAGAAGTTCCGGTGAAGCTACATTTCTATCGGATGACAGCGTGACTGTGATTGGATTTGTTGACAGTGTTTGGCAGAGCTTCCAATCCAGATTCTTTCGACTAAAGCCAGCAGGCAAGAGGAAGCAGAAACAACATGTGCAGTGAACTCATTAAAAATGTTTTTAATATGATCAGCCTTGCTTGGAAGAGCTGAGGGTTGGGTGGTGGGTAGGGGATCTGTAATACTTCCCTCCAGCTTCTCAGATAGTCCCTAGACTCAGATTGGCAGAAACCTCCTAATATCTCAGAACTGCAAGGGGAACACAAATTAGGAAGCATCACCAGATGCCTTCAAAACCAGCATTTCAATGAAATAATGTAATACAGTGGAAAGACCTTTGGACAAAAAGAGAATCAGGAAATGTAAGTTGAGCCCCAGTTCAGTGATCAAACAGAAAAGTTGTCTTGGCCAAGTCATTTCCTTTCTGGGCCTTGGTTTCCTAATCTGTAAAATGAGAGAGGTCTAGTGTATCAATGGTTTGCAAATAGTGCTCCTATGGACCCTTCAGGAAAGAGCAGATAGGGAACCCTACCAAGCTATTCGTTATTTTAGGTATTGGGGCTTTCTTTGAAAAAAGATTTCTGCCACTAAAAAATTTCAAAACTTATCGATTAGATGTCCTTTAAGGTCTCTCTAAGAAAAAGTACTTTGAATTCACAGCAGTGGTTTCCAAATTTTTTGATCATGCAGACTAATCAGTAAAAATATTTTTGCCAGGTATTCCCAAAATAAATATTCAAAATTAGATATGTATATTACTGTAAAATATATTCCATACAAAGCATTTCCCCCAAAACAGGAATGTCAAAAGGGAGATAAAAGTGAAACTTTTAAAGTAAATCATAAAAAAATAAAGTAAATCATAAATCTGTTCTTTAACCATTAAGGACTTTCATTATCAGTAATGATACTTTCATTACTTAACATTAATATTAAAGCTTTTAGTGAAAGTAATACCATTTGTATATGCCATATCTTGATTGGTTGGTCATTGTTTTTCACATTACTGCATTGTATCTGTTAATTTTCTACTACTACAGTAGGGCTCAGAGTAAGATATTCAATACTAATAGTGCTTTGTGTCAAGATCTACAAACAAAAATTAAATAAACAGTCTATGGCTCTGGGATTTTCAGAATCATTCAAAGATCACAAGATATTGGAAGATGGTAAATTCAGGGCTCTTAATTCCAGACAAAATATTCCACTCTGGTTTAAGCAGAAAGGTTTTATTAAAAGATAGTAGGAATTTTACAGATCTTTGAGAGGATCAGAGAACCAGGCTTGGATGCTTTCATAACTAGAAGTGCCCTCGCATAGCACAAGACTGACCTCGTAAAACATAGTGGCTGTCCCTGCCTGCTTTTGAACATGAGGCTTGGGGTTGGATGCTAGAAACTCCAGCACCACTGCCCTAGGAGTTCTGGATGTCTCTGCTTCTGGGCTTGTCTGAAAATCCAGTTGCTTCCTAGTGATCCCTGCCTACGTGCTCTCTCTGCTTCCATATCTCTGTAGGTGAGTCTGCTGCTAGAAGATCTGCGCATGACTAATTGCAATTAACAGGGTGGATCTAGTCATGCTGTTCCCTAAGGAGTCCTGGTGAGGAGAAGGGACATATTGGGTAGGATGGCTGAGAATGAAGAAAGAGCTCTCCCCTTCTCAGGAGGGGCCAGAGTCCAAATTACCAAGTCCATGAAGGCAAAGCTTGGCTGGCAGCTGAACTGGAATTGATCTTTGAGTGGTCCTGAACAGGTAGTGGAGTGGGCACCAGGGCTTCCAGGGAACAGCCAGGCTCAGCTTCTGGGGAGTGGTTTGGCTACTCTAGGCGAGGTCAGCTTGTCAGAGTTCATATGAGGGAGGGCAGAGGCCAGATCCAGACCTAAGGAAAAGGAGAGCAATAATGAGTTGGGAGGTTACTGCTCTCAGGCAACTAGGGTGGTCTCAGGCCCGGGTCAAAACAAAAGCTAAGTAAGATGGACTCAACACACAGGGTGAGAGCCAAATGCTCAACACTTGTCCAGAACCAAAACCCACTTGAAACACGCTTTTGATTCTGGACATGGGAGCAGCCACCCCTCACCAGACTAATCACTGGGGTAAAGGCGCTTCTTTCTACTACCAGCCCAACCTCTGAGGCTTCAGAGCTGACCAGACTATAAGTATTCCTAACCGACAGGCCAGATGGAGGCAATGCTTTAGTTGTTTACTGTTGCACAACAAATCACCCTAATGTGTTGGTGTAAAGGAATAATCATTTTATTATGTTCACAGAGGATGTGGATCAGGAATTCGGACAGAACAGAGGACGATGGCTTATCTTTGCTCCATAATATCTGGAACTTTAGCTGGTAAAATTCAAATGTCTGGAGGTGACTCAGTCAGCTGGAATCCAGGGGCTGGAATCCGCTGGGGACTTTTTCATTCACCTGCCTGGCATCTGAACTGGGATAACTCAAAGGCTGGGCACAGTTGGGACTATGGGCCAGAGAACCTATGTGAGGTCTTTCCATGTGGATTGGGCTTTTTACAGTGTGGCCACCGAGTTCTGAGGTGGAGCACCCAGGTGGGAGCATTCAGAGAGCAAATGTTCCAAGACACCAAGACCCATAGGCAGAGGCTGCACGGCCCAGCCTTGGAAGTCATATGACATCACTTCTGCTCTGCCTTATTGATTGAAACAGTTACAAACCTGCGTAGATTTATGGAGAGGAGACACAGACACCACCTCTTGATTGGAAGGGTGTCAAAAAATTTGGGCCATATTTTAAAACTTCCACTAAGAGAAAATAAGAAAAAGAGGAAAGCTCAAAAGCACATCAACTACATATAAATACTGACTGATGCTTGCTAATAAACTAACCCAGTTTAGTTTATTTAAACAATAAAATAATGGAAGACTTGTCATGTACTAAGGAGTGTGTTATGTGCTAGGAATACAGAACTAAGGCACAACCCTCAAGGAATTTACAATCCACTGGAGAAGACAGATGAACATACATTGTTGTAACTAAAGGTAAAGTGAGGAAAGTAAACCAAGACAGATAGTATACAAGTGCTGCAAAATAGCCTAGAGTAAGGGGTAATTAATATAGTAAAGAGCCTGTGCTGTCTAGGGGGAAGCATATGAAGTTAGAAGTTAGACCTGGATTTGAATCCCATCGTCACCATTTCTTAGATTGAGCTATGTAAAAATGCTTTTTCATCAGTAAAAAATAATTGAGTATCAATTATTTCATATGGTTCAACCCAATACTAGCTAGGTCACCTTGAAAAAGTCACTTAACCTCTAGAAACATCGGTTCCATCACCTGTACAATGAGGTTAAAAATATCATAGAGTTATTTAGAAAAACAAGATAACATTTGCAAAATGTCAGTATGGTCCTTTATACAAAGTAATAGCTTGAGAAACAGTTATTTGTAATTATTATTACTATCTTAGAAAGCTTTAGAGAGAAGGCTGAATCTGAGATGACATTTGAAGACTCAACATGCTTTTTTTTTCTTATTTATATTTATATATTTATTTATTTATTTTAGGTAGGCTCCACACCTAGCATGGAGCCCAACACGGGGCTTGACCTCATGACCCTGAGATCAAGACCTGAGTCAAGACCAAGAGTCAGACGCTCAACCAACTGAGCCACCCAGGCACCCCTGAACATGCTTTTGATGGCCAGATAAGGGAGGTGGGATGAGTGATTTTAGGCTGATCAGAAACATGGGAAAAGGCTGTTTTTGTGATTCTACTTATAGGTGATATTTGGTTCTGCATTTGTTTTGGGGCCTAGACATTTATTTTGAATAAAATAAAGGTTTTTTGTTTTTTTTTAAGATTTTATTTATATATTTGACAGAGAAAGAGCGAGAGAGGGAACACAAGCAGGCAGAGTGGGAGAGGGAGAAGCAGGCTTCCCGCTGAGTAGGGAGACCTATGTGGGGCTCGATGCCAGGACCCTGGGATCATGACCTGAGCCGAAGGCAGACACCCAATGACTTAGCCACCCAGGTGCCCCCAAAAAAGGTTTTTATGGACTAAATAATCTGCAACCCTGCCTTCCGAAATCACTGAAGCATTCTGCTTAATAACTAAAAATGTTGCTGAAATAAAAAAAATGAAGTCCTTGCTGAATACTGAATACAAAAGGGAATGAAAATCCTGGCAGCCTGTAGTTGGGGAACAGGAAGCTTATTTGAGAACTCAGAGCTTAAGTTTCAAAACCTTCATGGAATCAAGACACGAAGCTCTGTTTCAACACTAGTTAGGAAGTTAAAACTGATATCTTTGCATGAAGTTGGTTTTCAAAGAATTACACCATCAGTGAAAGGCTGATCTAGAAAATCATCAGCTCACCAGAAAAGACATAACAAGAAACCTTCTATTTCATCTGGCTTCTAGGTTACAAAGAAAAAAGTCTCCCCAACAACACTTTCCAATGGACCTACTATTACTTATGTCTGGTTCTAATTACACTTCCTCCATCTTTTGGAAAACGCCAGGGAGATAAATAAACTTTAAAGCTGATGATATTTGGGGCACCTGGGTGGCTCAGTTGGTTAAGTGTCTGCCTTCGGCTCAGGTCATGATCCTGGGGTCCCAGGATTGAGCCCCACATCAGGCTCCCTGCTTAGCGGGGAGTCTGCTTCTTTCCCTCTGCCCTTCCCCCCACTTGTACTTGCTCTCTCTCTTGCTCACTCTCTTTCAAATAAATAAATAAAATCTTTAAAAAAATGAAGTTGATGATATTCCTTATACCTGATATTTGATAAAAGCAAATGTAGGATGTGAGGGAGATCTGGCTGCAACATCTGTCACCCCATTGATCACCAGGGTTGATTCAGCTGATCTGGCTGGCTAGGCAAGTGTCCCCTTCCTCCCTCACCATTCCATGTGTGTCCCTCCTGAAGCTGCAACTCCCTCAAGGAGGACGACTTTCCCCGATAGAGGAAGACCGTTCTTCTGTCAAGGGTATATGAGTAGCTGCGCTCCCCTGCTAGAAGCTCCAAACAAGCTCTAAACGTCCATTTGTAGGAGAACATAGGGTAGTCAAGCTTCCAAGACTCCAGACACATCCAAATGAGGTGCTGCATGTGTTAGTCTGCCTTTCTTTAGGAAAAAATAAAAAGGAAATGTAAAACCACTTTGGAAAGATAAGTCTTCAAGTAATATTTAACATGATTTCCACAGATAATGTCTTGCTAAAGGTGAACTAACAATCCAAAATTCTAAAGTATGGGAAAACAATTTATTTGAGCAATGGTCAGTGGATACATCAAACAGCAGGATTATGCCTCTAGCAACCTTAAACAATAGAACTGTCACATAAAAGAAACATGCTTAAAGTGTTTAAAAACTTAACCTTGAAACTGGAAATAAGAGGACAACAAGGTAGTGTGAAAAGATAATGGGAACATCTAAAAAACCAATAAAATTATAAAAATGAAAAAAACATAATTGAGATGGAAAAAGTTAATCAACAGGTTAAATAGTTGATTAGACATAGCCAAAGAGAGAATTAGAGAACTTGAATATAGATCTGAGGAAATTATCCAGAATTAAACACAGAAAGAGATAGAATTTATTAAAGAGAGGTAAACAAACATGGAAGATAGCACAAAAAGATCCAATATATACCTACTTAGAGATCAAGAAAGAACAAATTGAGAGGCTGAAGGAGAGGCAGTTTTAAAAAAGGTAATGGGGAGCCCTTTCTAAAATTTTTGAAAAACAAAATCCTCACATTTAGAAAGGGCCACGAGTTGTAAGCAAGATATGGTTTAGCACTGGAGGGCAAGGAAAGTTGGATACAAACACCCCTCGAGGGATGTACAGTATTCACTATCTTGGCTTCTCTGCATTGGTGCTCCCACTGCATCCAGAAGTGAAGCTGTCTCCTAGAGCCCTTCAGAATGCCAAATGTCTTGATGAATACAATATATACAATTTCAGAGTTTCGGTTCAATGCCAACTAGCTAAGGGAAAACCTGGGTATGAGTTGGATGGTAATCTTTTTGCCTACAGACTATTTCTTCTAAATGGGTATGAGCCCAGACCAATTTTATTTATTTATTTATTTATTTATTTTATTATTTATTTTATTTTTTTTTTTAGATTTTATTTATTTATTTGAGAGCGAGAATGAGAGAGAGAGAGAAAGCATGAGAGGGGGAGGGTCAGAGGGAGAAGCAGACTCCCCGCCGAGCAGGGAGCCCGATGCGGGACTCGATCCCGGGACTCCAGGATCATAACCTGAGCCGAAGGCAGTCGCTTAACCAACTGAGCCACCCAGGCGCCCCAAGCCCAGACCAATTTTAAACTTATTATTGTTTCTCCATGCAACAGAAAATTCTTCCTCAGTTTGAAAAGTATTTTTCAAGAGTGTTTATAAAATTGATTTGGAAATTTTTCTATTAAAACCCAGCATAACACCATTGTATTTTTAAAAACATTTGAAGTCCAAATCTTACCATATGTCAGACTTCTAGTACATCTACAGGAGCTCTCAAATTAGATAATTCAACAGATCAGTTCCTACAGTTTCTTTTGGGTACAATTGATTCTCTGTACTGAAATTGTTTCTTTCCCAGTCTCAGAACTGTGGTATGCTTCCTAACCTTTGGAAATGGACTGCTTATAAAACGTTTGCTAAGAGACATGCATCATCATTAAAAAAAATAGAGCTTTACCTCCATAGATATGTTTCTGGGAAAAGTGAGTATAAATCAAATTTTTGTAAGTCAAATCATATTTTAGATGTCTCAAGGGAACTCATTATTTAATAAAATAGCATGGAGAAAATAATCACATTGTGATGTGGCTTTTCATGAAGCAGGGCCCACCTGTATCACACTCTGTCATGGCTGTGGGCTTCACTCTATAGCTGAGTTTGAGGGTAGCCAGGTCTGCCTTGGACTCAAGTCAAGGGAATTAAGTTACTGAGTACTGAGATCTTGTTATGAGGCAGTCTCCTTTATAAGCTGTGTCAGCACGGGTCCTATAGTTAGTACTTTATAAAGACATGGAAAATCTGCTATATCTATAAATTTAAAAGTACATTAAGCAAATTAATTTACTTTGATGATGTCTATATTTTCTTATGTCAGCCATAATTATTTGTTTGACTAAAGAATTTTAAAGTAGTGCATATGTAAATTTCACAAATTTATTTCCTGGCAGGGATCTAGACTTAATCAATGGGTTCCTGTATTGATAATAAGGATAACAACTAGATCCATGAAAATCAAAATTTAAAAACACTAAACAAACAAAAAAATCATGTAAACAAAATCTTTTTAAAAAAGAAAGAGCAGGGGCGCCTGGGTGGCTCAGTCGTTAAGCGTCTGCCTTCGGCTCAGGTCATGATCCCAGGGTCCTGGGATGGAGCCCCACATCGGGCTCCCTGCTCTGCGGGAAGCCTGCTTCTCCCTCTCCCACTCCCCCTGCTTGTGTTCCCTCTCTCGCTGTGTCTCTCTCTGTCAAATAAATAAATAAAATCTTTAAAAAAAAAAAAAAGAAAGAGCACTTTCTAATCCCATTAAAAATCACTTTCTCTTTGAATTGCCTGTGTGGCTTCCATCTTACAGGGAGAGAATATGGTAAAACAAATACATTAGATATCTTTGAATTATGACTTTGTATGTATTGTCTAGCAAGACTTGCAATCAGGTAGTCAGGGGAGGAGTGGTGTCTCCATCAGTGAGTCTTGGTGGCTCTCATCATCTGGCCCAGATCCTGTTGCTTCAGTTTGTTTGAGGGATGGTCAGGACACCGCTTGTGTGGGATGAGCTGAGTACAGCCCTGATTTATACTGTGAGTAGGAACAAATACACAAGAATCCCTTGAAAATATGTAGCTAAAATCCAATCACATACACACACATTAATGCCCATTCAAACTGCAATGTTAAGATCTAACTGCCCCAGCCAGTTTTATATACAGCAAACGCCTCAGACTTCAGCTATTTGAGGGGACAATTTGCTGAGCAAAGAAAAAGTATCTCATTGTAGATGGGAATGGAAAGGGCAGTGTCCAAGACCCCTGACCAACACACACACACACACACACACAGTAAGTCTTATCATTATGCAAATTATAGAATGTTAGAACTTAGAAGTCTAAATAGCTTCATTTGTCAAATTTCTGTTATGCAGGAGGCCCTTCTTACATGGTCTTAATCCTCACAATAACCCTGTAAAATATACATATTTATTTCCATCATACAGAGGAGAAAATGGTGACTCAGAGACATTCAGCAACTTGCCTAAGGTTACACAGCTGGTAAAAAGTAGAAATGAGATTTGAACCTCCAAAGGTTTGACTCTTAAAGTCTTTCAATTTTAACTTGCTATTCCCGGGTTTATCTAATGTATAATGGCTCTGAAATCTGAATATTGCTATCTTTTCCTAACACTGGCAACCATGGCTTTCAAAAGAGTTCCAGAATTTTTGATGGCATTTGTCCTTTTTATTTTTTGCAGTCCCCGAAAAGGGCTCACTTAATAGTATATACAAAAGCTACTTTTTAATTCTTGAAGATCTCAACTTTGAGCTACTGATCATTTAGAATGCTGACAGCTTCCAGGCTCCAGAACCAATGGTCTGAGTAATGAAACTAGAATATGCAGATGTCACACAGAATTCTTTCTATCCTAGATTAAAAACCTCTTCTCTAGAGAATTTTATGGAGGAGAAAAGTAGAACTTAAGTATTCATACAAAAAGCTTTAAATTTGACTGTGTTCTAGGTTCAGTATATCAGGTTTGTGATTGAGCTCAAGAACCTCACAGAGAGAGACAATACCATATTAAGTACTTAGTGATGTAAAGCATTGTGCTAGTCTATGGGAAGGGGGGTTAGGGGTATGAAAAAGAGGTAACAGTTACTTTAGCTTTATTGTTCACAAAGCATTTTTAGACATTGATCCCACGGAGGAAGGAATGACTATTTCCCTGATGTATTGAGAAAACAAAGCTTAGAGAATATAAGGCAGGAGTCCTTCAAGAAGCCTATAGCTGAGAGGGGAAGGAAGAGGTGGAAACAAAGAAGTCTAATGTAAGGAGGGAGAGATAAATGTCAGAGACTTGACAACAAGATACTGGGGTGGGGGTGAGAAGGAAGTGGAGGGGTGTGTCATTCTGGTGATGACCAGAATCCTGGGAAAGCCTCACCGGTGGTCTTGAGTCCAGGAGTCAATTGGTGAAGAGGGCAAGAGTTTCTGCAAGGGGGCAGAGGAGTTGTAGCGTTTGAAGGGACAGGTTCATTGGCTCCACGCTCTTCCATGACCAAGCAGACAGCAGGTTAGGTCATGGAGGTGTCCTGATCTAAAACAGAAGAAAGAAAAACGGCCAGGCAACATTCTAGAGCACCACTTTTCAAACTTCGACAATCAAGTGAATCTCTTGCTAAAATACCAATTTTGATTTAGTAGGTCTGGATTGGGACCTGAGACACCGTGTTTCTAATAAAGTCCAGGTAATGCTTGATGTTGCTGATCCGTGGGCCACACTTAGAGGAGCATCCACTTCACCTAGGAGCGTTAGAAGAGCAAGACTGCTTGGGTCTCACTCCAGACTTACTGAATCAGAATTCGCATTTCAACAAGATCCCCAAGGGGTTCATCTGTACATCTAATTCTGAGAACCACTTTTCTAGGTTCTTCTTTGATCATTAGAAGGGACTCAAGGAGGTCCAAACTTTCCTTGGCATCGCATACCAGCAGTCTGGTCTCTCTCCGGAGTTCCTGTTCCCACCGGCAGAGATTTGTGCCCCGTGGAGCTGCTCCTCCTGATCCTAAACCAGTAGCAACTCCGGGAGTTGATCGCCTCGTAATCCTCGTCGTTGGGTTCCTTTCCACCCCAACCCGCGCTTCCCCGGGGCGCTCCAGCTGTTTCCCACCCCCACGCCCAGGCAGCTACTGTGCACAGCTGGAGCCCTAGGCAGCGGGCGCACCCGGAGCTGCGGCGGCCGGGGAAGCCAGGCGGGGGCGCCGCAGACTAGGCTGTGCGGGAGGAGGCTGTTCCGAGCCCGCGTCCGGAGCGACGGGCGGGGGAGCGCGAGCTCCGCATCTGGTGCCAACCAGTACGGCCCTGGCGCGGCCCCACATTCCCACACCGCGGGAGCGGCGGCTCGCTACCTGGGAGGCGGCGCGCACCACCCCAACCTGTGTTTCATAAACCCGTCGGGAAACAGTTCCCAGCCTCGAGGGCCAGTAATCAGGCCGACATTCTCTCGAAAGAACTGCTGATTATAATTCCCGAGCTGGGCGAGGGCCTCGGGGACCTAGATTTTAAGTCGACTATATAATATCATTAGCATCATTATTAAAAGCCAGCCACCCCGCCCCACCTTCCCTTATATGCACGTCTGAAGTTGGGGAGGTGGAGGGGGGCAGTTGAACGACCAGAGGGTTGCAGCAGGATTGTAAAACCTAACGATTTGCTAAGAAATCGGGGCCGAAAAACGCAATTTACAAAACTGCGAGTTTTACAAGGTAGAGAAGGTAACAGGGCAGAAAACGCACGGCCGCCGAACCCTCGCCGCGCGTGCTCGCAGGAGCGGGCGGGCCGCGAGCGCGCCTCTTTCCAGCCGCGCGGCCCGGGCCGCGCGAGGATTTCGCAGGAAGAGGAGGCTGCCTTGGCGCCTCGCACCCGGCGTCAGCGCATCTCCGAGAGGGCCACCAGCGCCGCCGTGAGCCCCATGCGGCCCGCAGCGCCCCTTCCCTGGCTCGTCGCGGAAGCCGCACTATCCCTGCCCCTCGCCCACCTCAGCCGGGCTCTCTTCTCGCCTCGCCGGCGTTTGAAGCACGCATTTCACCGCGAGCTTCCTTTTCAGGGCAAAGCGCAACGTGCAGTTTAAAGTTAACACCTCCACGCAGCCACTGCTGCGGGGATGTGCGCATTTCCCCCTGCGTATGTGTACGAGTGTGTGTTTCTCCAAGACCGTCAGACTAAACGGACACTCTTAACATTTATTAAAGCCTACGTGTTCTGTCTCGAGGCTTATCGGGTTTGTCCAAACGTGTGTGTGTGTGTGTGTGTGTGTGTACGCACGCGCGTGCGCGCGTGTCTCCACCCTCCTCTCGCCTCCCCACCCCCGCCCGTGCAGGGCGAAGTAGTCTTATATAGCGATGATAAATATCCCTGTTGATCACTTGATTGATTACCTCCCTGAAAGGTCACGCGGGCTCGCAGTAATTTCCTTTTGCCTAAGGCTCCCTTTTCACTTTTACTCCGGCACGACAGCTCCGAGTACACGGGATCTTTATTTTTTATTTTAACCCCTAAATGCAACCCCTCCCGAAAACAATGCAGACAAGAAAAATCGAATAAAATCAACTCGAGACCTTTTAGCTCACTCGCAGTCGCCTTCCCCATCTCGCTCCTTTCTTTCTTCTGGCCCCCGCCCCTCCTACTGCGACCCCCTCTCCCCAACTCAAATGTATTCTAGACACTATTTAATAGATGAGTGTCTTGCAAGTAAACTCAGGCGTCCCTTGGGTCTGCATTTCATGTCTGTGACTCTCTCTTTCTCCCGTGGACTAAAAATTCGGATTTAAACCACTAGACAAGCTATTAATTTAGCTAGACTACCCAGGGTCCTGAACCCAATTAATTTCTAATAATTATAGCCCAAGGGGGCTAGATAGATCTCCCTGCCTCTTTCTTTTATTGCCACTCCACGCCACCGAGGTCAGCGTATAATAATAAAGTGTATATTTTGAAAGCGATCTCCAGAACAGTGAGTTATTGCAATGAATGAAAATTGTTTCCATTTTGGCTAATTGAGCCCGTGGCCGAAAGCTAGAGCTCTGAGACTAAATAAAGAGGACTGTTTCCTTTCAACATGAAGAAACCCCTGCCTAGCTCTGGTCACCCAGTGAGAGTTTAATTTCTTAACAGCCAACCTGAAACCCAGCGTTGGGTAAACAGTATTAATAATTGCATTACAATGATTAAATTAATCTTGCTGGTAACCAGGAGAATATAGGTTGAATAGCAAGATGTAAAGTTCACTGCACAAAGACAATAGGCCAAGAAATACCTCCATAAAGAATTCAAACTTTCTTCCAAAGACACTGTGGGGCTGGTTCAATTATATTTCGAGGAAAGGAAAAGTTCCTGTTGCATGCAATGTATTGAAAATCAGTTCTTTGCCGTTTTTAGCATTTATTAAAGAAACATAGTTGGAGAAAGGGTATACTTCTCTTGTCTTCTTTCATGACCCCTCTTCCTTTCAACTCCCATCTTGATTTCTCTACTTCTCCCTAAAAAAATTCCAAAAAAAACCAACAAAAACCCCGAAACAAAATATGACAGTAATAAAACAAGCAAATCCAGACAGCCCCGCAAGCTCTTCGACTTTCCAAGGAGACACTGTTTCCAGGATGCTCGCTTCCGTTGGAGAAAACGCAAGGAAACGTTGGCACTCATGCCCCTCAAGGAAACGAATTTCAGGAGGAGAGGGAAAGGTGGGTGGTGGGTAATCGGGCAGCGGGGGCAGTTCGGCCAACTTGTTGGAGGCCTCCTTTCTCTTGGGCGAGCGACAGCTTGGACGTCCCGTCCGAGGGTTTTGGGAATCCGAGGGGCCGCTGAACAGAAAGTCACCTGCTTGGGTCTCACGGCTGAGACTTGGGACAGGTGGAACCGACGGGGTTCCTGTACTTGGAAGTGGGAATCCGCCCAGGTCCGCACGCCGGGGCCGCGGCGCTGCAGGCGGCGAGCGCAGTCAGCAGCTGCTGGGCGTTTGCTCCATCAGGTTAAACACACTTGAACTAGAAACTTAGCTTTTTTAGTAACACTCACCTAGGGCAGAAAGCAAATGAGAGAGAGAGAGAGAGAGAGGGAAACCCAGCTTTCAGGTTTGAAAAGAAAAGTGATGATATTATGAATACTTCACTAAAAAAAACCCAAAACAGCAAAAAAGAATGATGCCTTGTCTATTCACAATGCTTTGGCCCTAGGGCACAGAGGAGTTTGTGTTTATTATTTCAGTTGGAAGAGGTTGGATTTGCTCGTGTCCCGAAACTCTTGGAAAGACCAGGCATTCGCTGAGGCGGCCGCGACCCCAGGGACTTTAAAAACCAGAAGGGGAGGGTGCTCCAGCAGCGCTTCACCCCCGCGTCCTTCGCTCTCTAGAAAAGTTTAAAAGACTGGGATCTTTAAGTTTGGGAACTCCGATTTTATTTTCTTGAGTCCATATCCTACCCAATTCCGTTCACAACCCCCACCCCACCCCTAAACCGCCACGTGGTTTATAATTTCTCAGCGGAAACAATCATCGCAGCTTCACGTATGGGTCTTCTATTTAATCTTGGGGTTGGTTCTATGGTACCTTCGTTTCCTAGAAAATTCTCTGGCACTCCTCTTAACCTCCTTTCCTCAAGTGGACCAGGATATAGGACCCCCCTTCCCCCCCCATAAGATGAAAGGAATTAATGAGAGCAGCAGAGGGAAGGATAGTAACTCCTTTTATTATTTTTTTTAAGCTTCCCGGGGCTGAGAAGGTGAAATGAAAAGTCCCAGGCAGAGCCTCCGACTGTTCTGGGAGCTCTTCCTCCCTATGGGGTCTCCTTCTCCTCTCCTGGGGGACAGGGCCCTCCAGGTTCCGATAGATGGTAGGGGTCTGATCCTCCAGTGCAGCCTCTCCATCCTGTGGCCTAGGTGAGGGTCCCCAGGGAGTCCTTAAACTGATCAGAAGCAGCTTCTATGAACATCATGCCGGCCAGCCTAGTGTTTCTCTCCCTAGAGACTCTATTACCTTTCTAAAGGTTCTCAATCCCCCACTTCTCCTTTTCCTCTGGGGTCACTTACTGGTCAGAGGGAAGGCACTACTCCATCTAAACCGAGGGGAGCCTGTGAACTCACATTCACAGACTTCTGGGTATCCACATTCAGAATGTTGAAGTGCCTGGTGCTTTTACACCCAGCTCCGCTGTGTGTAAGTACAGCACCCGGATGCACAGAGCAACAGGAATTGTAGTCTGACTGGAAAAACAAAAAACAAAAAACAAAACCCACCCGCCTCTTCAGTCCAGAGGCAATGATAAGAGTACTCTTGTGTCCGTCTGGTGCTTACCAGAACCTTCTCTTTTGGAGGTTATTTTACTCCTACTCTGTGCAAGTCTTTCCTTTGCTCCCTTTCTTTTCCTCACATTTCAACATTACACATTTGTCTCTCTTGGGACCTGTACTTGGTTCCCCAGGGACCTGTATCTTACAGCCACATGCTCCCAGAATTACACAGCTCTGGAGAAAGAAATGGTGGGCATCCTTAGCCAGGGTGATCCTTTGAATTTTGACTTCCTCAGAGATATTTTATGAGCCATTGGTGAATGCCCTTTAGGCTTGAACCTTACTGTTTGCTCAGGACATTCTCAGTGATCTCTCTTCCCCTCCCCTGCCTTTGCCAAACTCATGCCCAGGGCTTGCTTTTCTTTTCCTTTTCCTCTAACTGGAACATCAAGGATGTACTGTTGCAGCACAGAGACTGAAAAGATTGTAATTTTCTTTCACGGTGTCTGGCAGGATTTGCAACAGATATTATTGGGGACATAAATAGTTCATGGAAGGTATTGAACAAAACTGTTTAATGCAAGGAGGTTGTACCAAGAGAAAATCTATACGTAGTTGAAATTGATTCATACCTTGAACACAGCTGGCCCCTTTAGGATTTCCCCATTTCTATATGCCCACTTCATTGGTAAATCCTGTAATTAAAGCAAGTTTCAACAATGTATTTTTTAAGGGTGGGGGAGGACTTTCCCCCCACCTCCTCTTTCTTTTGACCCCAAAGGTTGTGGGTTTAAGCGAATGAGTGAAAATGGCTGGCAGGCTGAACTGCAGCAAGAGGAGATGGGGGCAGACTTGGGGGAGGCCGGAAGGTGACAGCTAACCTCAGGGACGCAGGAGGTCTTGGATATTAAATGCCCGAGCCTGTCCGGACCTGGGAATCAAAGGTGATCATTACTACTTGGTGGGAATAGACCACTGAAATGTTCCAAGGGTAGCTGCAAGCTTTGGATTATACCTAACACCGAGCAAGAGAACAGTTACTTATTTAGCTTTCAACTCTGAAAGCACAAAGCCGCAATAGCTTCAGCAGCAGCAGGGGCGGCAGCAGCAGATTGCCTGAAGTTCAGGATGATTCTCACTTTCTCTTGGATCGTTTGTCAACAGTCCTGTCCTACTAGTTCTTTAGCATGGAAAAGGTTTTAAAAGCCCCACTTCTTGCTTTCTCCGTGGATGGTATAGAAAATCTCCTGCAATTTATGGTGGGAAAAACAATAATAATAATGATACAGGCTTATTGGTGATTCCAACACGAAATCAAGCCTTTGCCCTAGTCTTTTTATTCCGCCCCCCCCCCCCACCGCCCGCCTTTTTTTGGGGCGAGGTGTCTGCTCCCCTCTGGCTCCCTGTGCTCGCTCCCCGCCCCCCGCCGCCCTCCCCGTGGCTCCCTTTCTCCGCCTCCTCAGCGATTGCCATCTGACAAGATCTCCAAATCAAAGTGATAAATCGCTCCAAACTTTTTTTGGCGGCGCTGAGATGTTGGAGGGGCGTCTAGCGCGCATGTGCGAAGGTGTCCGAACTGACAATGCTGGAGAGATAGCGAGTGTGGATTGAGAGAAAGGGAGAGAGGGAGGGAGAGAGAGTGAAAGAGGGAAAGACAGAGAGTGAGTGTGTGTAAGTGCGTGTTTGTGTGTGTGTGGGGGGGGAGAGAGAGAGAGAGAGAGAGAGAGAGAGGAGCGAGGGAGGGAGCGAGAGGGAGAGCAAAAGAAGGAAAAGATCCAAGAAAAAAAAACCCCAACCACACACCAGCGGCTGCAGGACTGGGCACAGCATGAGATCCAAAGGCAGGGCAAGGAAACTGGCCACAAGTAGGTGCAATATCCCTTTTCTATTGGCTTTCCCCCTCCTCTGCCATCTTGCATATCTGTCTCCAGCGCTCCGGG